AATTACATTAAAAATATATATAGAATTATAAATTCAAGTTATATAATTTATATTAATATATTTTATACATATTTAATATGCATTATATATATAGATATATATTAATATAAAATACATATAAGAAGTGTGGACTGCATATTCAGTTCATATTCACATTGTCATTTACACAGTCAAACAAACATGACACTTTAAAAACAACATAAACTGGTGTGTGTCCTGAACAATTTCCACTTCATCTTCAGGATACGTCACACACACACACACATACACACACACACACATACACACACACACACATACACACACACACACATACACACACACACACATACACACACACACACATACACACACACACACATACACACACACACACATACACACACACACACATACACACACACACACATACACACACACACACATACACACACACACACATACACACACACACACATACACACACACACACATACACACACACACACATACACACACACACACATACACACACACACACATACACACACACACACATACACACACACACACAGTCCAGAGAGGCACTTTCCATTAACTCAGAGCTCTCCTGTGGCTCATTTCATGAGTAACAGCCTCTGAAAATAGTTTCTGAGTTTATTTAGCAGCATAAACAAACACAATGACTGTCTCCCCATGAGGCTTCTGAGCAGAGCATGATGGCACAAGCCCAGGTTACTGTATCTTTCCTCCACATGAACAAATTTGACCTCTGTACAATGCTAATAAACTCACTCATTACAGTCAATCTGGAATGAAATACGATCTGAAAATCAACTACTTCCCTTGTGATGTTCCGCATACTGAAACGAATCCAGTTCAGTCTGAACACACACACACACACACACACACACACACACACACTGAACACAAAGCCCAGAGAGAACACACAACACACACACACACACACACACACACACACACACACACACACACACACACACACACACACTGAACACAAAGCCCAGAGAGAAATAGGAACACACACAACTACACAAACAAACCTTTCCTGTAGATAAGAACCACCTGTAAACACATGACTTTACAGTCAAAACAACCTATTATTATTATCAAATAAATGTACAACTGTAAGAGCAGATAAGAGTCAAAACAACGGAATGGAAAAAGAATCAATATCTCTGTTCATCTACCACAAGATTTTACCCTAAAACACAGATGAATTCATCGATTTATGTTCAATATGTGATACTAGTGTACTATTTGCTGTATGCTACATAGTATACACTATTTTTCAAAACCAGTATGCGAAACATTTTAGGTTTTGGAGAAACATCTAGCCTATAAAGATAAGGTCATTTAGCTAAATATACAGACTGGATTAAAAAATTAATTAATATTTTTTTTCATTTAACCAGACAGTGATATGTTTATTATTTAATGTATGTTTAAATAAATCTGTCAATTTGATTGATTATCAACTTTTTTTTTGTTTTCTGTTCTTGGCTAAATGAAAACTTTAATTTAGAATCGGAAACAACATGTAGCATGCAATGACAAGCACTTCAAACAGTACTATGTTTGCTACATTGTTGTCACATGACATTACACACATTGTGTGCTATTTGGAATATTTTTAATATCCATCTCTAATATTTAACAATTTTAATCAAACTGTGTGAAATTGGCATCTGCAGGCCAATGAAAAATTGAGTTACGTGAGAAATGTTAAAGCAGACGTCACACTGGAAACTGAATGGTAAACATGTTGCATTGTGGGATACTGTATTCCTCATTTTGGATAGCATATAGAAAAACTCAGTAGTATGTTACTGAAGTATGCTATTCTGAACATACACACTGTCTTTAGTGAGAAATTAAATCTTATCCAGCACTAGATGGCAACAGTGAGCATGTACGGTTGAGTGGGCAGAATCTGAGGTAACTATAGGATAGAACCAGAGAATAAGCATTCAGTGTCTCAACCAAAGACAGGTCAGTCCTGCATTCACTCCAGCCAATCAAGCGCACTCTTACTGTCACTATGGCATTGATAACGCCTCCACTGACCAATCAGAAATCAAAAATAATGTCCGTGTCTTTGTTACACAATCAATAGCCTCAGAGACTGGTGCGCAGATGATAGACTTCAGGATAATTAACATCCATTAATGCCCTATCTCTCTCACACTCACACACACACACACACACACACACACACACACACACACACACCCCAAATCAATAAACCTAATCAAGTGATTGCAAAAAACAGCAGGAGAGAAAAAAAATGAGAAGGCATTATAATCAGTGACATGTTTAATTCAGCAGCAGTATTATTAAAATATATTGTGTGCAGTGTTATTTTAGCATCGTTAATATACACTGTAAAAAAAAATTCTGTAGTTTTTACAAAATAATTTTGGCAGCTGTGGTTGCCAGAATAATTTTGTAAAAAATACAGAAAAACTGTATAAAACTGTAATTTACAAACAAGAAAATTTGAATGTAAACCAGTAAATTCAACAATGCACGCTGCTATTAAAATCTGTTTTGTACCTTTAACATACTGACAACCACCATAATAATGCAGATGGTAAAAGAGAAAGCCACATGAAGAATCAAAGCTCATCACAAGTAGCTTCGCCACAAGCAGAAGTATATACTAATATATAGAAGGTGCACAGAGTCATTCATGCAAACACAAAACACCATCATGGTAACACACATGATACTTAAATAATGCATTAAACTTTCATTAAACAACAGAAGATGTAACATAAAGCCCAAATATACATAACTAATAACAAAAACTATTAAAAAAACATGATTATTTAA